CCACAACACAGGCCCAGACCCCAGCCCAGAGCTACACAGAGACCTTCACCACAACACAGGCCCAGACCCCAGCCCAGAGCTACACAGAGACCTATACCACAACACAGGCTCAGACCCCAGCCCAGAGATACACAAAGACCTATACCACAACACAGGCCCAGACCCCAGCCCAGAGATACACAAAGACCTACAACACAACACAGGGTCAGACCCCAGCCCAGAGCTACGCAGAGAACTATACCACAACACAGGCCCAGACCCCAGCGCAGACTTGCACTGAGACCTGCACAACAACACAGGACGTGGTCAGGAGAAGATTTGACCAGGCTAGAGAATGTCTGCAGCATCATATCACAGAGGCTATCACCATCTGTAGTGATGGGCGAGTCTTGGGAGTGCAAGAGGCCCAAAAAGAGGTCAGACTTTAGCAGTTATACATATTTCTTATGGTCCGTGATATAAAGGTGTGTCGCCTATTGGAGATAGTTATATTATGACAATCCTGAATTTTCGGTATTTTTATAATATACCTTTATATAAGGTTAAAATATGGAAACCAAAGGATCCCTCCTGAGGAGATGAATGGATCCAGATGCTGAGATTATCACCTCTGCTAATTGGGCATGATTAAAGGTACCTGAGTATACAGAATATTGTCGTGCATCAATGACAGAATTGTGTGCTTCTCTTCCAAGAAGCTTCTGCGGACTTTGAACGCAGACCTCCTAGAGGAGTTCCTGAGAGCCACAGAGGACATGAGAGCATTTTGTAGCCCTGCTCAGATGAGAGAGGCGGAGCTCCTTAGCCAATCACTGAGGGCACAGTGGGAGGTAGGCGGAGCCTGCTGCGTGATGATAGCAAGTCTTACTGAGCCTTTATAACTGCATCAGCTCATAACTAACAAAATGATAGGATGAATTCATGGTTTAATAGGTATGAAAAGGTATAATATCTCAAACTACCACCTGTTACACCACCAAGACGTCCTACCTTCCATGTCGTGTTGCAGTAAGATTCACACCAAGCGGTTCCTCAGGCTGTTTATTTTGTCACGCAGGCTTTGCGCTCAGACATAGACACCGTTTCACCACGCGTGCCATTAGAGACTGAAGCACAGTGTGGTAACAGAGCCGCCATGTCATGGGGCACGCAGTTAGATGCACAGGGATGTGCTCCACAGGTACCGTAACCTCTCCCACTAAGCTCTCCCCGTATACCAGGACCCTGTCGAGGTCGCTTTTACATTCCGGTGTGAGCGTCTGGTGGTGGATTCTGCATGTTCTGATTTGCTAAATGAGCAGCTTTTACCGTTGTTAGGTCCAAATGCTTTATTCAATGTGCCATACTACGCGTTTAAGTCAGTTCCATGCTGCACTGTTCTTACTTTCTTACCAGACTGCAGAGCCTATAATTCCCTTATTTATGGCCCCCTGAAGGGCTTTGATGGGGCAGGCAGGGATTGTCTCATTTTCCAGGTTTTTATTGCCCCATTCTGCTGACTCTCATCTTTAGCTCCTCTTTGCCCTTATTTAGTCTTAGCTGCTAGTCTGTCTGCAAGCGTTTGGTTTATACCTGTTCCTGTTTCTAGTATTTTGGTCCAAACATAAGGGCTGTTCCCTGCCTTTTACCCGCAGCTTGGAAAGTGAGTGGGGCAGTGATTTGCATTTCACTTGGTGTGGGTCTTGGCCTGTGGTGGGGGGGGTCACAGCCCAGTGCTGGGGTGCCGCTGGGGATGCCTGGGGTTAAGGACACTGTGTGGCTTTGCTTCTGTGAGGTGGTGCAGTGGCACCACCAGATAACAGATACTGTGCTTGCCTGGTCCAGGCATGTGTCACGATGGAGGTCAGCCAGGATCCGAAGGCCCTGACACAGCCGAGTGAGACACTAACAGCCAAGGTCCCAGCGAGTGCTGAGCTGGAAGGACGGGCAGCGAAAGGCAGAACCGAACCCAAGGGTACATCAGCAAGATCTGAGAGTACATTCACAGCTGAAGACACAACAAGGCCCAAGGACACTGAGGCGACTAGGAATGCAGTGAGGCATGAAGATGCAGCAGGAGCCCAGCATGAGAGAACAGAGAGGCCTGAACGTACACTGACAACTAAGGACTCATCAAGAGATGAGGGGAAACAAGCAGTTAAGGTCATAGCCAGACTGATGACTGCAGACCAGACAAAACCTAAAGAAACATCAACAATTACGGTCACTAAAAGACCCAAGGATACAGTGATAACTAAGGATGAAACAAGACCTGAGGATATGCTGACAACTAAAGGTGCAACAGGCCCAGAAGATGCACTGGAATCTAAGAGTACTCTGGGTCCCAAAGATGCACTGGAATCTAAGAGTACTCTGGGTCCCAAAGATGCACTGGAATCTAAGAGTACTCCAAGTCCTGAAGATGTACTGGAATGTAAGAGTACTCTGGGTCCCGAAGATGCACTGGAATCTAAGAGTACTCCAGGAGCTAAGGTCGAAAAGAGACATGAGACCAAGCTGTATCGAGCCAGGGCTCAGCTGAAGGACTTCAGGAGCAGAGTGGAGGTTGTTCAGCACCAATCCGATCATCCAAGCAGTATTCCCTGTGACGCTTGGTGAGTGAAAATAGCCATGAGAGGGATATATAAGTGGAGACATATTCTGAATTAATGTGCTGTTGTGCACGATTACTCTGTACTGTTGCAGTGATGTTAACTTGCACATGATTATAGGAACTCAGATGGCCCTTGATTGGGTAAGATGGCGTGAGTGGTGTGGTCCACAGCTTCTGCTGAAGGCTGCGATGACCTGATGGTGTTTTCACAGGCACCTTCCAGGCGGCAGTGAGCAGACCCAGCAAGGAGCACGTCCCATGCCCGCTGGTATTCCACAGGGCCCCCTTGGCTCTCAGGTATACAGGCAGAGTATGACCTCACCGTGCTAAAGGGGGGCTAACATGTGGCTGTTATATTTTTATTTTTACAAGTGGCAGGAGACGGGGAAGAGGTCTGCTATGTGAGCAGGACAGAGACTCAGGACAGGACTGTCAACCATTCCAAAAGGCTGCTTTTCAAAACAGTGAAGTTTCCTTTTAGAAAACATATTCAACATAATGTGCAAACTGACTATAAAAGACTTTAAACTCAATGACTAACTGAAAACACAGCAAAGCTCATGGGACAGACACCTCACACTTTGCTGCTTTCCTATAAATCCGTTTGGCTGCCCCTGCTTAAACCCCAATGCAGTCAGCAGCCTAATCTGGCTCTGCTTTCATGCCGTCCGAGGCCGTTTGGCCTCGGGCTGTTTGGGTTTCCATGGAGACACAACTGATCAGCTACATGCTGTTGCTGTTTCTCTAACCAAAAAACACATTAAAAACAGATATTTGACAATGAATGCTAGAGAAAATCATTTACTAATGCATATGTAATACAATGACCCAACAGTTCCCAGATGTTGCAACTAGAGTGCCAGATTTACAAGCTTTTGAAAATATTAATTATCTCTGTATAATTATTTATATTAAGTTTGAAACACCAGTATGCACTCGTAAATTTCTTTTGAGCTGGAAAGGCCACAACTTGCTGCCCTGAGCAGTAACTACTAACAGTTGTTACTGGTTACAGCACAGTGCTTAAGACTCACATCGATTCAGTTCCTTTACAGTGAGGACGTGTCTTTATGGCCTGGCTGTCTTCTTGGTTTCCAGGTCTGTCGAGTAATCGTCAGGACGGACTGTGTGGAACGGCAGCAGATGGCAGAGCGCACTGTCATTGAGGCAGTCCCACAGGGCTCTGAGAACATCACACCGCCGATGGACCCACGAGATGTCCATTCCGTCACAGAGACTGTCCCACAAAAAGTGCAGTTAACTGAGCAAAGTGTCACACAGAAGGTGCTGTCCACTGAACAGGAAGTCGGCCTTCAGTCCACTAAACAGGAAGTCGGCCTTCAGTCCACTGAACAGGAAGTCGGCCTTCAGTCCACTGAACAGGAAGTCGGCCTTCAGTCCACTGAACAGGAAGTCAGCCTTCAGTCTACTAAACGGGAAGTTGTCCCAAGGGGACCAGAGTTAGCTAAACAAGATGATGTCCCAGAAGATGTCCTGGTAGCCAAGCAAAGCCTCACATGGGTAGTGCTGTCTGCTGAACAGGAAGTCAGCCTTCAGTCCACTGAACAGGAAGTCGGCCTTCGGTCCACTGAACAGAGAACTATTCCATGGGAAGTTGAGTTACCCAAACAAGTGTCAGTCTCAGAAAAAGTTCAGTTGAGCAGACGGGAAGCTGTCCAACCAGAATTGTCCTCCTTCAGACAGAGAGTTGTTCCACAGGAAGTTCAGTCCTCTGCAAAAGAAGTCATGGAACGGTAAGGGTCACTTTATTCTCATTGGCCACTTTAGAATTCATTTAATGCATTTCTAATTTTTTAGTACCGATTGAGAGAGATCAGTAATATTATTATAAGCCTTGTTTATCATATGCTATGATGTGTGTGGAATAGTTTTGAATTTTTAATTCAGTTTTCGTCTGCCAACTATTACTACAAAAACATAGATTTTTAAATATAAGCACAAATTTAAGCTCATTATGGGATATAGACAACAAAAGATGTAATAATAAGGGCAATGAGAGAGAATTTTGATCTCATGAATAGCAGTGAGATAGATAGTGAGGACGTGTATTCTGATGTTTATAAGAATACTGATAAGTGTGCTGATGTTTGTAAAGGAGATAATGAGACAGTGAGGTATCCTGCGGCCTTTTAAGTGGGTAACGAGGATGCTGATGGCCGGGCCTTGTGTGTTGATGGTCATAATGAGGGTTAATGATGTTTATATGAGGTTTTTGTTAATATGGGTAGTGTTCCTTTAGGGGTGCTAGGGAGCATGGAGATGCCTGACAGACAGACCCAATCTCAATTCTTCTGATCAGGTACCAAAGCTCCAGGAGCTCCTTCCAGGCCCAGCTGGACTTCAATGACCAGAGGCTCCAAAGTCTGTTCCTCAGCAGCCCTGTGACCAGCGCCGGCCGGCAGAGTCTCCTCCTCCAGCTGCAGGTGCATCATCGGGCCTGTCTGCTTTACTCCTGTTTCTCCTGGATACATTTATTGGATGGTTCTTGTAGCAGCTTCTCCCCGTACACTGCAATTAGGAAAGGGGTCCCGTGTACGTCCCACACCGGCTTGCCGTTTATATCGCTCTCCTTACCATCCAAAACTCTAAGAAAACACAATTAATAATCGAACGAATGCAAACACAATGAATTTTTTATTAAACAATAAAAGATATAATAAATCAACCAAAGCTGTATATATATATATTAGGGCTGTGCGTAGTTATAACTAGATAAACAGACTTCACTGAAAAGAGATGCAATTGTTTTACCCATCAAAACACTCAATTAAATTTGTTTCCATACACTTATAAACTTTAAACTACTCATCTCTCATCAGATCAGCTATTGAGATTCTGAACAGTCACCATTTTACTTTTACGTTCTGTAGTTTTGGTTACAGTTAATGCAAATGACAATAGATTCCATTGTTCACCAATAAAGTGTACGGTGACACCAAGGTAGCTGTCATTACTTACAGATGCCCAATGATCCCCAGTTAGGACAACATACTCTCTCTCACATGCTCACTTTCAGTGCTCTCTCGTTCTCATATAGAGTGACTATTCCAGACATACAGTAAAATCCCGTTATAACGGACTTCAAGGGACCTGGCAAACTGTCCGTTATATCCAGAGTTGCTGTATGCCCAGAACACAACTACAGGACACCATTTACTCATGCCACACCTCAGCAGACACCCTTGTGGTATAGATTATTATATTGTACATGTACAGTAGTAATCCATCTTTACCTGACCAGATGCGTGACCATTAATAATCCCGACTCCGTATCTGCGCTGGATATCACCGGCACGCCACGCACCTTGTAGGCAGAACTGCATGTCCGTTATAGCCGAACAGAACTACAGCTAAAAGCAGCCCTGGGGACTAAATTGTTCATCCGTTATAAGCGAAATTCTGTTATATGCGAGTCCGCTATATCCGATGCTTTTTCTGCATGTTCTTAAAGGCGCGCGGCCGGGACCAGCGGACCTCGTCCGTCGTAGACGATATTCCATTATAAGCGAGTCCACTATAATGGGATTTTACTGTAGAGCTATTAGTTCTTCTGGATGGCAGATGTTAAGATGAATCTCCTGTCGCAACTCGAATGACTTCTTTCAGTCCCTCGTCTTTCTAGCTATCCATTTAGCTAAAGAATCTGTTACTTTAGCATTAGTTTCTTTCACCAATTCCTTAATTCCTTCACCTGACATCTGCCTTAACACATTGACTGTGGTTTCATTATCTTTTCTTACTGGATTTATTTTTTAAGTTTTTTTCCTTCCCTGTTTGTTATTAGCAGTTGCATATTGAGCTGAATTCCTTAAAATTAAGGCCCATAATGTGCCACCTCAGAAGTTCTGGACACTTTCACTGCAGGCTCTGAAACAGGACACAGAGGCCCTGTGGTTCGAGTATGAACTCCAGTCCTCCCAGTGCTCCCAGCTTAATACCGCGATGTACAGTGTGGAAGAGGATTGGACTGAGCCGATTCAGCAGTGGAGAGGACAGCAGATCAGAATCCAGAGGAGGTACGATAGCCAGCAAATGCCAGTGATGCGGGGGGATTATCAGGCACTGTCAAGTGTCAGTCTTTATACCAACCAGCAGGGGGAGTCATATCCTCATTCTGCCTGTAGAGCGTGTCAGCCTGGCTTTGGGCAGCTACAGTCAGATAGGGAAAGCTTACAGCCCACTGGGATCTGCCCATTGCCATTCAGGATGGAGTCACTGAGCTTGGCTGCCGGGCTGATCGAGCCCACAGAAAAGCAGATGGCCCTGATCTCTGAGCGACTGGACGTCTTCATGGGGGAACCCTGGGAAATGTCCTCTTTCACCTGGATGGACCTACAGAAGGAGATTAAGGTACCATCAGGAAAGCCCTGCAAAGCACTCCGCTCTTAGTTATTATCATTACTGCTGAAATATGTCCCATATCAGGCAGGTAATTACCCTTCTGATGCTGCCCGACTAAGGATTAGGGGTGTAATGGTGCAGTTGTCCCACAGTGCGGTATGTGTCATGGTTTTGGGACCAGGGTAACAGTACGATTTTGGTATCTTTATATTTAAGAATAAAATACAAACAACACATCTCCATGGAATTAACTCTTTATTTTTCTATATAACTACTGTCCATTCAGAAAAATGGCAGCAAGAATAACTAGGCCTAGTTTATGTCTCTGCTACATGAAATCAAGGAGAGAAAAACATTTTATAATTTTATTTGACAAGAATATGTATGAAGTTAAGCATATGACAGGCAATCACAGCACAGTAAGTGTAAATAGTTAATCAATATTACAAGCTACACAAGCCAAGAGAGCGCAGAATGTTTCTGATGCAGCTGACCCAAAAAAAATATGTGACGAGCGATTAAAGTCATTTTAATAAAGAAGCTAACGGCTCTTTTACAAATGAAACACGCCAGCTGTGTGTCGGCAGTGGTGGCTTGATGGTTAGGAAACTGCACCTGTGATTGAAAGATTGCAGGTTCAAATCCCCGACCAGCAAGGCACCACTGAGGTACCCTGAGTGAGGTACCGCCCCCAGGCACTGCTCCCCGGGCGCTGAATTAGCTGCCCCCTGCTACAGTATGTCACATATGGGTTAAATGCAGAGGACACATTTCGTTGTTGCGCTGTTGTGTGTCAACAATGACCACTGATCACCAAAATCTAATACTAGCAACAGCACAGACAAGGAAACCAACAGTTTACATAAAGGTTACATGCTAACAAAATGCACACAGTGAATAGTTATGACAGTTCTAATGAACACAAATGTACATATTATCTTTAAATGCTGTAAAATGTGCGCAGTGCGGAACAGAGCATGCTGGCAGCTGACTGACCCCAGGGCGTCACATTATGTCACTAGCGGGTGGGATCATCGCTCACATTACATCGTATTGCTGAAATTATGTTGATTACGTTTGAAATCTGCAGCCACCTTTAGTAAGGAGGCGGATAATTTACGGTATCTGCTCTTGTATAATAACATTTAAATTCTAGCCCTTGAAAATAAGACAAGCCCAGTTTTTTAGATCTATCTTTTTGGGAACAAACACTGTCTTATATTCACGGCAAAAGATATAGGAAAATAACAGACATATCGTAAAAATAACGGACATATCGTAATACCGTGGTTCACGTGTGTGTAATGAACCGTTGAGGCTGTACCGAACAGTGCGATAATATACCATGTGCCCTTTCACCCCTGCTAAGGATGCACCCAGCATTTCATAATATTGACCAAATTTGATGTTAAATTTCTAGCAGTCAGAATTCTGTGGGTTGCTGATAAACTTCTTGCTACAAAATGTGCACTAATGCCGGGTTTCCTTATCGAGACTCTTTTGAAACCCTGAAAAGGAACTAGAGGAAAATATTCGGCACCAGATGGACCGCCTGCTGACCCTGGACAATGAGGAGGGCCCGGTTCTGGGCCAGCTGGACCCGACTGACCGGCAAGCCCTAAGCCACTTGTCTGAGGAGTGCAGGCAGAGACTGGGCCGGCTGAGAGGGCAGCTGGGCCAGGTGGATGTAGCCGGCCAGGCCCTGCACCACTTTCTCCAGTCCCTGCAGAGCTCAGACCGCCGGATCCTGGAGGCACAGGGTGCGGCGTCGCCCCATGAGTGTCGCTCTCGGCTGGCGGGGGTCCGCCAGAGCGTGCGCGGCATCGGGGACGAGGCGTCGGAGGTGGACCGCGCCCTGGGGGCGGCTCGGGTGTCACTGGCCCAGAACGGTGTGCCGCTGTCCTGCGAGGAGCTGGTGGCGGCCATGGTGCAGAAGCTGGAGGAGGCCGACGCCCATTCAGCCCAGGAGCTGCGTGGCCCCCAAGGGGAGCGAGAGACCCATGCTCTGCAGCCCAGGAAGACGGCCCTGCAGGGGGCGCTGTGGGGCATCCAGGATGCAGCGGGGAGGGAGCCTCTGCCAGAGCTCACCCTGCCTGCTGTGCAGCAGAGGTATTTCAGTTAGCAGATATTACCGATGTTTGGGTCTGATATGATGTTACAGCCTGACGCTGTCAGCTGCGATTCGGACGCCGGGCATCGCCCCTCTCTGACATCACAGTTTAGCTTCACAACCCCGGTTTTTATTTGACTTCGACAACTAACCTGATGCCTCTTCTCGTTCCCTGAATGTTCTTATGTTGGACTTTTGGACCTTGAATTGTATTATCAGGTTCTTATTTTATTAATAGTTGCTGTGTAGCTCCTGCTCCAATCCTGCTCTCTCTCATACTTGCTCATTCATTGGAATCCTAGCGGCACTTGTGCCTGGTTCCCACTCAGCCGCATGCATGTTTATAATGTCCTGTTTGCCTTGGACAGCAGCATCTGCTAAATATGTACCTCACTCTGCCCCCTGTTGGCAGGATGCGTGCATTGACCAACCTGGAGACCCAACTGTCTAAGCACCGGCTAGATATCCGCAGCCTGCAGGTCATGTTCGCACAGCTGAGCCCTGAAGAGGGGGGCAGTGCAGTCGAGGAGCTGGAGAAGCAGTGGAAGGAGGCACACCGAGCTGTGGCTGACCAGTGAGCCAGGCTAACTGGGGCTGTTGGATGCTGTGGGGGAGTGTAGTGGGTGATTTGATAGTCTGGGAACTGGACATGTGGACAAAGGGGTTAAGAAGATTATTTCAGGGACTCCAGGAAGTGATGTAGGACCTTTGATCCTTAATATTAAGTATTTAACCAGAATAGTTCCAGTAAATGTCCAGCAGCATTTAATAAATTTGATGAGAGACTGGGAAGTAGCCTCGGAATCTACACTGTCCTGCAGCTCACTGCGATGTCCACTGTATCCTCCACAGCAAAGCCCACTGTCAGGCGCTTACTCAGCTGATGAAGAAATTCCAGAGCTGTCGCAGTGGGCTTGATGGTGCCCTGCAGAGTGCCGAACAGGCTGTGAGTGAGCGTGCGTCCTACATGGGCAAGGAGAACCTGCACCGCTGCATCGCCAGGGTACGGTGTCCCGAAAACACAATCACACGCTTGCAGCACTGCAGCTTATTTCACAAATCTCCACTAGGGGGCATCCACTGCATTACGAGTTCCCAGGCATAAGGTGCCAGCATGTGTAAGGACGGCAATGTTTTCCTGTTCATTTTATCCAGGCCTCTTATGTAACATTATAATCAAATGCAATAGCAGTGTAATTAATATGCAGATCAGTTTGTGGATGAGAAATCTGCGTAAAGCAGATGGGCAGGTTTTTCATCACATTGCATTCATCATGCTGTATGGCTGCCTTTGGGTTTAGGCATGCCTGTTTGTCTGACTGACTATATACTCGTACTTACTCAGGTCCAGGGGGTGCGGCAGACACTGAGTGGCCTCGGCGAGGGGCTCCAGGAGTTGCGGGGGCTGTGCAGGCAGCTGCAGTCTCAGCTGCGGATGATGCCGGCATGCGCGGAGGTGCCCTTCGAGGCTGAGGTGGACACACTGGTGGACCGCTGGCTGGATGTGAGTTTGGGGCCCTTCACTGGCCAAGCTGCCTGATCCGGGATGTCAGCTCTGGGCACAGTGTTTCTGACGGGCGCGGAGGTCACCTGGTCCACTGGCTTCTGTGCTCAGTTTCTCCTGCCCATCAGTTTCTCCCAGGATAATTTATTCCTTGGCCTCCTGCCGCTTAAAGAAATGGGGCTTAGCTTGTAGCTCCATGGAACAACCTTTAGTGTGTGACATGACTGCAGCTCTGTAAGGAAATTGGTCCAAACTGATGCATCAGGGTGTGAAGTGAGTATCTAATAGCTATAGTGCATTGAGTTCAGGCTCTGACAGGTCTCCTGTGGTGCTATGGGGAGGTATAATTGGCTTTTCCCATGATCCTATTGTTGAGCTGGACCCTCAAGAGACCCCGCTGCCTGTGTAAGCTGGTGTTCTGGCGACCCAGACACTTGGTTCTGTGTTCTGTGGCTCAGGCGACAGTAAAGTGTCACTGGTTATTCTGTCCCTTCACTCAGGTGACGGAGAAGACGGACATCCACTTGGACGGCCTGCAGACGGGGCTGGCGCTGTGGGAGAAGCTGCAGGAGCTGGGCGGGGAGGTGCATAGCTGGACTGAGAGTCGATTGGCCGCGGTCACTGGGGGGAGCCGCTTCCAGGGCCAGCAGGAGGTCGCCGCCCTGCTGGTGAGGGTCTCACCTCTGGTGACTGGCTGCCTGTCCATATGCGTCTCTTATTTAATGGGGCCACTGTGGATATGCATGTAATGTCCAATTACCATACATGGGCCCTTGTTCCATTTAAACAACACTGTATCTAACTATGTCACGTCTCACACTCTCTGTCATGATTAATACTCATTATCTAATGGGACATGGTACATGGACAGCTAGTATTCCACAAATATAATACTTATAAGATCAATAATATAGGGGAATTTCCCCCTTGGGAGATCAATAAGGTTCTGTCCTCTCCTCTCCTCCTGTCCTCTCCTCTCCATTCCTCCTGTCCTCTCCTCCTGACCTCTCATCCTGTCCTCTCCTCTCCCCTCCATTCCTCCTGTCCTCTACTCTCCATTCCTCCTGTCCTCTCCTCTCCATTCTTCCTGACCTCTCCTCCTCTCCTCTCCTCCTGTCCTCTCCTCCTCACCTCTCCTCTCCATTCCTCCTGTCCTCTCCTGTCCTGTCCTCTCCATCAATGCAGCAGTAATCTGATTATCTATGAACTTTACCTTTTATAAATTGGATTTGATAGGTATTATCACTGATTTCTTGAATTTCTACAATTTGATTTTAACCCTGAAGAGCAGCTCTTGTGTCTGGTAGGGTTTGATACGTTTACATTCTGCCAGTGGCTAGATTACGGCCTGCTGGGTGCTGTTCTAGGAAGGCTAAGGTGATTGTGTTTGTTTAGGTGTGTGCATAGTTGACGGCCTTTTCGGTGCTTTCCTCTCTGCTGCCCCCTTAAGGAGGAAATCCAGGTCCAGGAGGAGAAGCTCGAGCACCTCCACAGGAGATCCTTCGAGATAATGGAGCTCCTGCAGAGCTCAGAGACGCCCCTAGAGCTGCAGGTGAGAGCAGTGGAGTGAACGTGTGAATTATTGTGTGTGGGGGTGGGTTAGTGTGGAGCCTGGCAACGGTGGGAGCAGGCGAGGTGGGAAAGGTGAGTGTGACAAATCACCCGTTGACATGTGAGACCAGGGGTATGATAGCAGGAACAGTGACGTTAAGGGGAGCTGAGTGCCTGGCGTGTGGGGAACAGTGAAGTTAAGGGGAGGTGAGCACCCGGCGTGTGGGGAACAGTGACGTTAAGGGGAGGTGAGCGCCCGGCGTGTGGGGAACAGTGACGTTAAGGGGAGGTGAGCTCCCGGCGTGTGGGGAACACTGAGTTTGCACACTGCTTCCAGATTCAAAGGGGAATGTAGCTCAGGAGGTTGGAGGTATGCCTGCTTCTGGTAGGTCATGGGTTCGAATCTCGTGGCCAGCAGGGTAATCGCATCACCACTCGTTCCCTGAACATGGCTTTAACCCTAATTGTGCTTCTGTCCCGCAAGCCCTGCCCTCTCCTGTACGTTTCTGGCCTCATGAAGTGCACAGCACACTGGGGCATAAGAAAACCACCCCAAATGCATAATGTCTTCTACAGAAATTACCCTGAATCTGCCACTGTGACTCTGCCACTGTGACTCTGCTCCACCCTCAGGTGCTGGAGACCCAGCTGAGGAAGAGGATGACGCAGGTGAAGGAGCTCTTCTCCTCCAGCTGCGACACCCTGCAGAGTTTAGCGGAGTGTCGCACTCCCTCTCTCACGGTCCCGTCTTCTCTGCACGCGCTCAGTGTGCCCCCACAGACCCCCCCCCAGATCCAGGTACTTGCACCATACTACAAACGCTCAGTCCCAGGAGGCACAGTGTCCTGACAGCCTGGTATTTCATGTGGGTTTCTGAGAACCATGTTTGGCATCTACCTTCAACACATTTGTATTTTATAATTAGGCCTGTAAATATGAAGGAAATTTGAATTATTTGCCAATTTAAGGCTGCAAAGTAAACGTGTGGATTGCACATCAACTGCACTGACTGGATGTACTTGCAAATGTGCAAAGCAATAGTGTTACGCCAATGCAGTATACAGAAGTTATTCAACCCTCCCTTAAAATGATCAAATTACTCTGAATGACTAATCTCTTCCTGCCAGTATTTTTATTGGACATAATTTACTGTCACTTTACATTTTCGACATTCTAGTCATACCCAATTATTTCAATTCAATTAATTTTTAAATAGCACCTTTCATGACAGAAATGGCCCAAGGTGCTTTACATGGGTGTGTTGTGATGCATTACAATATTAAGACAGAATAATACAGAAGCAGGGCTTGGTAACATTATTAAAAATAAAGATTGGGTTTGTTTGCTCAAAGCGAGGTGTAAGCTGTGGTCAAGGGCAAAGCCAAAGCCCATCAATGGACATCAATTAACAAAAAATAGATAAACATGGCATGTGTAGTGGCACCAGTAGCCATGGTTACGGTGTGTTATATTTTAAGTTATGGGTTAGCTAAACTTACAGGAGATATAAAGACTTAGACCGATTCGGATTCCTGAACATAAGCTAATAATTTAAAGCACACATACCATATGGCAGCGAGTCGTACGTTTATATAGATTAAATGAGTAGGAGGGAGGATCAGCACACCAAATTTATTCAGTGTGGTTATACATGGATCCACTGTCATAAATTACATATTTGCGAATAGCAAATACAATCAGTCACTGAAAAGTCATTTTGCTGACTTATGTAGTCTGAAAGGCACTTTAATTTTTTTTAAGAAAAATAAATGACAAAACATGTTCCCTTTATGTTAAGATTTGTGTTATTTGGTGAGTTTGAAACTGTGTGAAATTTAGCTTTATATATTGGTACCATGGCAAAGTGTGAATGAGCCGCCATAGCAGTGCAAGGCTGATTCCTGTCTGCCCACTGCCGCAGGTGCCGGAGGGGCAGACTGACGTCCCTCTGCAGGAGGTCTCCCTCACAGCCAGCACCACTCACTCTCCTGCTCCGGACAGACCCAAGGCCGAAGGGCTCCAGCTCATTGGCCGTGTTCTTCCCACCCACCAGCTGATTGGTCAGAAGAGGCAGCAGGTAGAGGGAGGTCTTCTCGAAACAGCCAAAGGTAAGACAGCCAGCGCCGATGCCTTCTGATAAGGAGGCGAGATCCTGAGAAGGCCTAAGCCACGGTCGCCACAAGCATTTTATACCTTATCTATGTCTGATCTGTCTGAAATCATTTAGAAGGGCACAACTACATATGATGCGTAATCATGTGACCCATAGAAATGAGATGACCAGCCTTATACTTGTACTAATTATCGCCTGTATCTCTCATCAGATCAGACATTTCACATGCATCTCCAAGACTCCCGTGATGCAACAAAGGGACAACTGTCTGTGAGTCATGCCGATGACCGCCTATTGCCTGGCTGGGGGGGTGGGATAAGGGGGGGATCCCCACAAGTCCCCACAAGTGTGTGATAATGCATCTCACCATGTTTGAGAGTCCACTGTAAGAATTAGTGATGAGTGTTAGTACCTTGTCAGCCAGTTAGGTGGGAGAGCGTAGACTGTGACAGCCAGTTAGGTGGGAGAGCGTAGACTGTGTCAGCCAGTGAGGAGGGAGAGCGTAGACTGTGTCAGCCAGT